TAATTATTTACTGTCATCAACTTATCGCGCTGTAATTTGATCATTTTGACTTTTCAATTTAAGATATTTGACACTTGAACAGTCAAAATTTTAAGCAGGAAAAATGCACATTTGACCAATCACACAGTGCGCATTTTACAGTGTTAATGTCATGCAACACATTATTCAGTGAATGCAAATATGGCAGCTATAAACGCCAACGTCGATTTGTGATAAAAAGTTTTCTGGGGCCTCTATCTCTCCTGTCTGGCAATATTTCAAATTTAAGCGAGACGAAACATGTAAGTTTTGCCTGAAGAAAGTTAGTGCTGCCGGGGGAAATACTTCTAACCTACGCCGACATCTCAAAATAATCATCCTGTTAAGTCAAGCAAGATTACCAAGGCAAAACCAGAGAAACGTCAGGCTGATACTGCTGGTGCAGGACAGTCAACATCTCAAAATCAACAAGTATCTATTACCGATGCGTTTTCCAAGCTCCAAAAGTACGAAAGGGGAGGTAAGCAGCGGCAAAAACTAACCGACTCAGTCACCAAATGCTTGGCCAAGGATATGATGCTATATACACTGTTAAAAAGTCTTAAATCTTGCCTGAAGAGTTTCACAAAGAATACCGTCTTCGTCCGTTTAGTCTTCCTCATAGTCACTCTCTGCGACTGGCTCAAATTGATATGACTGAACAAGAGAAGATTGCTCAGTGATGTCCTCATTATCTGTTGATCCTTCTGTCTCTGTCTGTGATTCAAAGCTTTCGTTATCGGACATTTTTATAGCAAAATTATAAAGGCAACTGTCTAATGTTTGTGATATTTTGTTGTTTTCGTATAGACAAACACTTCGACATGTCACACTGCATACGTCACAAGGCCGGAACTCTAGGTAGCAGTCTTTCGCCAGTAGATAGTCTCAAAATCGAACTTTAATTGTAAAATTAACAAAGGTCTGGTTCGAATTTTTCAACAAGGTTGGTATTTGTATGATCGGAAAAGATCAAATTTTCAGAAAATGCAAAAAAAACGATATCGAAATTTTCATTGCATATACACTTTAAACACCTGAAATATTTTTTCTTCCAAGGCTGATACAGCAAATTCGTAAAAAGGTTTGGTTCATTGAATATATCTTGCAAATGAAACCAAACTTAATTTTTATTGCCAAAGTCCTTTTTGCCTTGAGTCAGAAATTAACAAGCACAAGGTGGCACTTAATCGAGCATTTAATGTATATAGCAAATTAGCCTTATTAGTCAAGTTAGAATACTAAAAATAGATTTGGAGAAGAAGGAACACCTAATTTGTCCTAATATATTACACTATTATCTCTCTAAAAGACAGTCCTTTCATACAACAAAGCCCAGTGTGCTTCAAAGAGTACAAGAAGTAGCAGAAACCTCCGGTCCTAAGGATACATTCCGTCAAGTTAGCGAAGAGTATGGTGGATATCTGGGGGCAGTTTCTGCAGGCGGCCTTTCTTGCAATCGTGAGCAAGGGAAAAATTGTGGAGCCAGATCGTTGCAGTTGGGGCATAAGTCCAGGAATGTTGACTTGCTCGCTATTTTGCTGCAAGAATACAAAAGACTACATATGAGCTTAGGGATGGATCCCTTCTTTAGTGAAGTTATTGGAGCTCCAGAACTTCAATGTGTTCTTGGATTTGACTGGCAAATTGAAGAGATAGAACAGTTTTGTACTGATCCTCTGAACTTTACAATATTTTCTGCCAATCCAACTTTTAATTTTGGAAAATTTAATTTAACTGTCACAACATATCGCCACTTGAAAGTAATAACCCATTGGGATGGTCATCATCCAATAATGATATGACCTAGCCTCCTCTGCAGGCATCTCATAGTTCACATACTTCAGAAAGTCGGTGAGATGTCTGCCAAAACCCGAGATGGTTAATCTGTTCTGCACATCTTGCTTGCACAGCGATTTCATCTCTAGGATATGCATGTGGGGAGGATTTGTCATCCAAGATGGCAGATTGCATGGAGTGAAGAATCATAAGAATTAGTGAATTTATATTAATATGCTGGCTAAAGGTGACTAAACGATTAAGGATACAGCTTTTGTAGACAATTGAAAGAATCTTAACCCGGAAATTAAAATTGTTGTCAGTTGACATATATTTTTGTATATCTGTAGATGGAAATAGAAATATTGTTGTAATCTTTTAAGCTCCATAAAGGTAGACTTTGTGTTAATATCACAAAGAAATGCATTTAATTTCATATAATATTTTTTTGGATCAATTAGTTGTTTTGTGTTTTAAATAATGTCTGGCTGGCATAATTGTTTAAAATAGTACAATTATCATGTACAGTTAGTTCATGGTTGTTAGAAGCAAGACTCTACATAGGATGTGTAGACGTGTAACAAGATAAAATATATTTGAGCATGATAATTGTGGACCCATTGTTAATAGAAACCAAGGCAAGAGCCAGATTGATTTGAGTGAAAATGCCTTGGTCTGGTGTTGGTTGTCAGATTGGCCGAGTATGCCAATCTGTGAAGCAACGCCACTGTCTGAAATCTAAAATTAGCTGGGTTCACTTACTATATTCACTTACTGTACTATGTCTTGTTTCCTGTGTTCACTAGTGTCCAGTAACTGCATGGTGTGAATTGCATTCCACAATCCAGCAGTTAAACAATAACATGGTAGATGATTATAATATAATTTAATTTTTTTAATCTAAATGAACATGTTGAATTGTCAGGATTTCTATGCACAAAACTAGGTGCTATTTTGCATGTCTGAGATGGAGACTAAGGTGCTGCATCCTAGAAAGTGTGAACAGTTAGCAGCTTCAAGGCTACAACACATGGACCAGCAACCATTGTCAAGCATGTCATAACCTGCCAGATAAAATAGTGACATAATTGAACATGGCCAGCATTCTGTTCTGCTGACACTTTCTTTATAATATAACATGTTTTTAATGGATGAAAATGGGATAAAAAAATAAATTGCCTTTACATTGCCTTTTATCAGAAATTGCATTGCAAGTTGCAGATTTACTAAAGGGGGGGTGCATCCTCCAAGTCTTGACAGGAGGGGGTGCTTTTTTCACGATAAAGCAAAAAATAATAGAGAGTAATTTAAGCAATAACATGATGATAAACAAACTGTGAACAACAATTACAATTCAAATACAGTATGTTGATGGGCGAGCGGCACACATGATCGACACAACTCTGCACCAGAGCTGGCAGAGCATCCCCCTACCAGATCATGCTGGATTGATCCCTGTATTATTTACACATGGAGGTATATCTCTTTTGGTGGCATAAAGGCATGTTTTTCGTCAATTTTCAAGTGACAATCCAAATTTTTAGATAGCTGTTTAAAATTTTAGTCAGCTGGATGGCAGGCTGGTTAATACCATGCAGTAGAATAATTTAGAGCGTAACATCTAACATAATACAGTAACAATATAAATTGTATAACTTTGCTTGATTTATAATTATTGAATATAAATACTTCTTACATTTGGTCAACTTGCACAATAGTTGCTTGAAATTTGTGTTACAGCAGTCATAGTACTAAGCAGTTTACTCAGCATTTACATAGCTTACATGCTGTATATGTATTCAACAAATCCCCGAGATATTTCTCTCTAACAAGTAACATACAGCGTAAAAACACATGTGATTGTAAATTTGAAGTTTGTTCTTTGCTGACTATCTCAAAATTGTGTAGACAAACCAGTTTCAATGTCATGCACGTCCACTAAACTATATAACAGTAATCGACAATTCCAAGAGGCAAGAGCATCCATTATCCAGTTGAAATTTTGACATTTACCACTCCATCTGCCTTCTAGAGTATTCCATTTCCCAAAAGTAGTAATATTTGATGTTATATGCATGTAGGATACAGACCAAATATAAATTGAACAGTTGCAAAAATTTTCCATTCACATTTCGTTGCTCGATACGATTTACATACTTTCGGTGTGGTTTGACCATCTGGATTTCATGAAACTCCAGCCATCTGTTGTAAGTGCAAAATAATCACTGTTTCATTCATATTTGTAACAATTTGCAACATAAAAATGATATTCTCAAACGATATTTTTTCGAATTGTCTCTGAGTATAAAAAGATCATATCCTATGGGAGTAGGGGTAAAATAGCTTTTGACATTTTGTAGTAGTTTTGATATGAACAAATTAATCCGATGGGGGTAGGGGTAACATAGTCGGTCCACAAGGGTTACATAGCTGGTCCAAATTCTATTCTTCGTGTTTTGGCAGGCATCGCCGTTATTATTTGTTTTGCCTGCAAGAAGTTTTGCCCGATAATCGAAAGGCGATGCCTGTGGAGGAGGCTAAATATGACCTTTGCTGTTGAGCAAAACAAAAACAGCAGAGACATACAATTATTTTTTCAGAAAACTTGCTGCTCTAAACAAGAACTTAAGAAACATGCTTGTTTTTTGGAAACGATTCAGAGGAAGCATTGATAGAGGGCATGAAAACCACTATGAACCAAGCAATTCATTTTTGTGTTTTGGCCATTTCCGAGATAACTGTAAATTAAAATTGAGAGAATCGAATGTTCCTGAACAGACACAATTACAATTTTTGCAAGAGATATTTGGAAAACAGCAGGGTGAAACACTTGAAATAGGTAAGCATATAATTAGCCAGAGACCTTCTAATACTTTTTTATTGCTTGAAACCTGCTTGAAACGTTGAGAATTTCAGCCACACACATATTTAACACTGGGATTGCCTGCTGTACAATTTTTATAATTAAAAATTTTCAAAGTATCTTTGCTACCTGTAAAGAGTCGATTCAATAAGGCAAATAAAATGGGGGTGGTTAGATGCACTGACAACTTACGGTGGCCAGTCATTTTGCCGAAAGACATTTTGCCAAATGGACATTTTGCCGAACGGACGTTTTGCCGAATGGACAGTTTGACGAACAGACAACTTGCAAGCAAAGCATTAAAGGCTTAAAGCGTGAACTATAATACTGCCCAATAAAAATGAGTGATGCATTTAAGTTACACCAGTCACTGATACGCGGTTATGAAAAAGCTTTTTTGCACAAGAATGGCCAAGCCGTTCAGCAAGAGGTACCGAAAGTCTGGAGGGAAATAAAAACGAATTGCAAAACAAGAACAGAGTTAACTGCGGCAACCGAAAAACAACTTGCCGAATGGAAACAAATTGAGATGAAGAAAAAAGGATCACTACTTTCGTTTTGGTCGAAGGTAATTTTTTATATAACTGTATATGAATTTTAAAAACTTTTTTATTAGGTGCCTGATAAACTTGTATAAAAATTATTACAGCAAAATTACACCAGAATAGCTGATTGAACAAATTTACATTATTTTAAAACAGGTTCCTACTCAGTCAACCAACAAAGTTGCTCTCCCGGAAAATGCAGGAACGGAAACGTCCTCAGATAAAAATAATGCACTGGTGATTGAAGTGATACAACAGCCAGATATTTCAGTTGATAAGCCTATGCCAACAGCAAGCTTGAAAGATGTCCCAGCACCAAAACAACAAGAGTTGCACAAAGAGCTTAGCCAGCTTAAGAGTGATCTGGTTGTGGTATATGGCAAACGTGACATGAACATGATGACACCTGATGATTACAAAGAAATATCGAAGAAAAAACAAATGCTGAAAAACCTTGAAAAGAAGCTAACAGCGAGAAAAAATGCGACGGAAAGGCAAAGGAAACTTAGACTAGAAAGAAAAAGAGCAATGGAAGAGATTGACCCTGAAATTAGAAAAAAAGCTTTGCGGAAAGGAAGAGGGTATTCGTGGTCGACCTAGAAAACCAAACTCCACAGGCACAGCAGAAGACGAACTACTGAAAACCATCACTGCAATTGCTATTACGGGCTCTGCATCTGATGATCGTTGTCGTATGGAAATGATTTGTACTGTCAAGACGCTAGATGACCTAACCGATGAACTACAGAAACGTGGGTATCAACTTTTGCGTAGCGCAGTTTATCTACGTCTTTTACCTCGCAAATCCTTGAGCATCGAAGGAAAAAGGCATGTAAAAACTGCGCCAGTAAGGTTAATCAGAGCACAGAATACTCAGCATAGGAACCATCCAGACACAAAATTTGCAAGATCGTCAATACAGAGCCTGGAAGAGATTGCTTCATTACTTGGCCCCGAAGAAGTTACTTTCCACAGCCAGGTTATCATATTTAGTACAAAAATACAATTCTGTTTTATGGTAACTTTTCTTTGAAATTAAGCAAAAAATTTCATGTTATACGTTTTCAAATTCTATTTTTAATAGGATGATAAAGCTCGTGTCCCCATAGGTCTAACAGCAGCGAACAAGCAAAGCCCGATGATGATGCATATGCAATATCGTGTTCAGCTATCAGATCACGACTTTGTCGTGGCAAAATCTCATAAGCTAATTCCGTCCGTTATAGCAGCTATGAAAGTGAAAGAAAACTGTATAGGAGAACAGGTAGATCTATTCGCCATCAAGAGAATTATTTTTTCAAGTTGCATTGACCAGTTTAAAATACATTAAATTATACACAATTCTAATTCAATGAACTTGTGTTCTTCTTACATCTCTTAAGGGTGTTACATATTCTGGACCAACTTACGTAGGAATTTGCAGCGCAAAACACACGTTGTCATCAGCATATGCACATTTAAAGGATATGAACAGAGTATGTGAGTTGTCAGAATTTAAGGAAAGTCTTTTTACGAGTGATGGTATTAGCAAACCGATCATGATGGTAACTGTAGATGGTGGCCCAGACGAAAATCCGAGGTAATATAATTTTGTTTTTGAAGAATGCAGGTCAATAAATGCAGTAAGGAATAATGAGATATTTCTCTTTCCTGTGTTTTATAGATACGAGAAAACCATCAAGTGCTCTATAAGCTACTTTTTGCAGCATGATCTGGATGCATTTTACCTAGCTACAAATGCTCCTGGTCGAAGCGCATTTAATCGAGTTGAACGACGCATGGCCCCTCTTAGCCATGATTTGGCTGGAGTAGTTTTACCTCACGATACCTATGGAACTCATCTCAATGCGAGGAACGAGACGGTTGACAAAGAATTAGAGGTAAAAAATTTTGCCAAAGCTGGTGAGACACTGGCTGAAATTTGGGGCAAGACTGTGATCGATTGGGTATGATACTGTTGCTGAGTACATTTCTCGGGAATATGAAACGTCCATATTGACTGAAAAAGATCAGGAGTGGCATGCAAAACATGTTCGTGAGAGCCAGTATTTATTGCAAATTGTGAAATGCGACAATCAAAGTTGCTGCGGTTCGAGAAGAAGTTCTCTTTTTCGATTTCTACATGATGGATTTTTACCTCCTCTTCCTGTTGTGCAAGGAAAGAATGGCCTTGAGTATGGAGAGAATAAAGAAAACAGCAAATTCGTTTCACTGTTTACAAATCTTGCCATCAACAAGAATATTTTTCCACCAAGAGTTGCTGTTAAGTTTCCAAAAGGCACCCCATACGACTTTGCATGTCCTAACGTTGAAAAGGATTTACCAAGAAGGGTTTGTGCCAAATGTGGTCTGTACTTTGCCACAATCAAATCTAATGCGGCGCATAAAGCATGGTGCAGTGCAAGGTTAGTTTCAGGAAAATAATATTAAATATATAAAATTATATTGTTTATTTGTTTGTTAAATTTTCTGGGCAATTTTTCTGTTTTTAAGAACTCCAATTTCTTGCTCAGTTGAACAGATTCGTCCTCAAAGAATTGCTGCACGCCGTCAAAGGGAGCTCATGTGTGTTTTAGTTGAAGAAGAAAGCGCTATGGAGGAGTTGGAGTGGCATGAAGAGCAGTATGTGGACACAACAGGCCTAAATATTCCCCAGCTGGAAAATTATGTTGAGAATGGAACACCTGTATATACGCTGGAGGACAGAGCACCAGCTTGGAAAAATGTTGAAGATTAAATAGTTAACTAAATTCTGTTTATCAACTTGAACGTTTCAAATTTTTGCTTTCTTATCTTTAATTGAAGGGGGGGTATTTGATCAGGAGTCATGTAATTTTTTAGGGGGTATTTTGGCAATCGTCACACAACGTCACATAGGGGTAGGGGGGGTCTGAAAAATTGGCTAAAATAGCGTCACATATTTTGTGAATGGCCCCTAAGCCACTAATAAATCATTATTATTATTATTATTAAAATATAGCCTATTATTTTGTATTACGTGCGGGAAAATGTACAAAATGTACCCACTTTCTGCCCAAAGGTGGTGCATTTTCCCTATGATTTTCCCCTGCAGTGTAATACAAATTAATACAAAATTAATACAAATTTTGCAGGGGCATATTTTCCTCATCTTACAAGATTTCTTGACCAAACTTTGCAATTTTACTACTTCTAAGATGTACTTAGCTTTTGTCGGATGAATTTTGTGATCAAAATTTAGTATATAGCTTGAATAATCCATTATATTGTACACAAAGTTGTCTCCGATCGTTTGACCAATGGAGAATATACATAGTGCTATACCTCCAATTTATCCCATGATACATGGCGAGGAACCCAATTATCACTTCGTACTGCCATCGCATATCGAAATAATTTTTCACAACATCAACTAATTCTAGTAATTAAAAAAGGCCAGTCATAACATGGTCATGGAACATTTTTATATTTTGTTACCTGTAAAATTATAAAACCTCATTCTCTTTATAGTTCTGAATATTAATGATTAAAGTAGTCTACAACCTATGCTAACATATTTCCAGATAAACAAAGATATTTAGACTTGCCTATATTATTTCCAGTTGCTAATGGAATTGGTGGTAAACTTCGTACACTTTGAATGAATGTAAAAATACAAACAGTTACCAATTTTAACTTCATAGTTACATGTAAAAGTCGTAAAACCTAACTGTGGTAAAACGAGTTATTATATGTAACACAACGTGGAGTCTATTTTACCACATTAATTGATAAATAAATTCTTAATTTATACCGTAAATAGGAAATACGGTAATAGGAAATAGGAAACACGGTAATAGGTAATAGGAAACATGGTAATAGGTAATAGGAAACACGGTAATAGGTAATAGGAAACACGGTAATAGGAAATAGGAAACACGGTAATAGGTAATAGGAAACACGGTAATAGGTAATAGGAAACACGGTAATAGGTAATAGGAAACACGGTAATAGGTAATAGGAAACACGGTAATAGGAAATAGGAAACACGGTAATAGGAAATAGGAAACACAGTAATAGGAAACAGGAAACACGGTAATAGGTAATAGGAAATAGGAAACACGGTAATAGGTAATAGGAAACACGGTAATAGGTAATAGGAAATAGGAAACACAGCAATAGCAAACACGGTAATAGGAAACACCGTAATAGGAAACACCGTAATAGGAAACTCGGTAATAGGTCATAGGAAATAGGGAACACAGCAATAGCAAACTCGGTAATCGGAAATAGTGCGCGAGCGAACACAGCAATACCAAACACGGTAATAGGTAATAGGAAATAGCGCGCGAGCGAACACAGCAATAGCAAACACGGTAATCGGAAATAGCGCGCGAGCGAACACAGCAATAGCAAACACAGTAATAGGTAATAGGAAATAGCCCGCGAGCGAACACAGCAATAGCAAACACGGTAATAGGTAATAGGAAATAGCCCGCCAGCGAACCAAATAGTCGCCAGCGAACCCACTTTTTCAACACGGAAATAGGAAATAGCAATTACACTTCTGGGCTTCCGTAGTTTTTCAATCCTGTGTGGCCAGAGCCACTCAACGATGGCTCTGGGTACGAGATTGCTTCAGTTGATAACACAAAACTTTGGCTTGATAATTCTCATTAACAATTCAACCTCATTCAATGAATTGTTAATTATCAAACTCTACATTTGACAGGTTCGCGGATTCATCTCAATACTTGAAAGAAAATTCATGGTCTTTCATGTTGGCAACTGCACTATGATTCACCATGCTACGGTTGTTGAGGATAGATGACGAAAATTACTGGGGTAAAGATATTACTTTCTTGTTACTAAAAACATCTTACTTAGGGGACCGGTCATTATTTATGGCGGGGGGTGGCACCGAAGAGAAAAAGGTTGGGTAAACAAAATTTTGAGTAAGTAAAAGGTTGGGTAAATGAAAAACAAAGCAATGCAAGGGTTTGGTAATGAAAATTTATTGTCATTTCCAAAACATGACTCACTGATATTGGAGACTGAAAAGCAATGTCAACAGTCGTATGTCACTACAATATGTGAATCAATTAGAGTGTCAACAGTCATATGTCAATACAATATGTGAATCATTTGGTAGACAAATGGTGCATGTCTCCAAAGAAAGTATATGTGCAGACAACAAAGAAAGTACATGTGCAGAAAATTTCACAAGCCGTTTAAAACTCGTGTCACAGAAGTGGTAAAGGAGATATGTGATAACTGAATGGGTATTTATTTTTTAATTGATATTTGAGGTTGGGTAATCAAATTTTTGACTTTATAATAGTTGGGCCAGCAAAATTTTTGCCACGAAAAACATTTCTCTTCGGTGCCACCCCCCACCATAAATAATGACCGGTTCCTTACTCAAAACAAACTTACTCAAATAGTCCGTTTGTCTTCCGGGATAACCGTATCCTAGCATAACTGGGCCATTATTCTATTGAGAATTTCGCCTAAAATTTAAATATTTTTATACAGAAGAAAGTCCGATTGGATTGTTGTATTCACCACTAAGTGAAAGGAATGTCGGGAAATCAATGACAATTGACGTTCTCGCCAAAGCGCAAGGAATAGAGTCATGTAAACATCCCACTATGCTTGCTGGAGGTGATCAAAACCAAACCGGCACGTCAGTGTGAGTATATTTAGGCCTCAGTTAAGCCGGTTTTCCATTTATAGGCGGAATTTTGCGCCGAAGGCGGAATTTTTCTTTGTCTTGTGATTTCTCGGGTGGAACTAATTAGAAAAGACAAAGAAAGATTCCGCTCCGCAAATCCCATGTCTCCTCCAATAAAAGTCGTCGTCGAAAATAATGCCAGCACCACAAAGTCAAAACAGTCAAACCACAAAGTCAAAACAAAATAAAAACTTACTAAATTTTGACCTGACGCTATTTTCAATTTTGACCTGATGTTCTTTTCATTTTTTATATGTATAGAATGCTATATAAATCAAAATACATGTAAATTAAATACATTTAAATATAGAAATCATTTAAGTATCTTTAAAAAATTCATTAATAATTCACGAGGAAAATACAAAAGAAAATAATGTTTAATCAATGTTTGTAAATCGGATAAAGATTTGTCTTGATTTACATAAACTTCAGCTTTGATTTTCTCGGCTTAGACAATGTTTATTTTTAAAATTACTTCGCCAATGAACTCATAAGATGGGTCATTTTTTAAGTATGATAAAACATTCGCATCCGATCTGTATCTGATATACAAAGTCTCGCCTTCGGCTGGAGTTTGCATATCAGATACAAATCGGCTGCTTATGTTTTATCTAGCACATAGAGATCGAGATAACTCCTTTGTATGAGTCTCCCCGAAAATAGCATGAGGTTACTTGATCTATAGTATAAATTAGCATGATGATATTGGCTTATACCTTAATGACATACATGTAGAAAGTTAGCTTAAGCCATTCCTCATAATATTTGTATCCGTTTCGTTCAATAGACCTATAATAAGAGACATCTTAAACAAAACCAACTTGTTGGTGATGCTAGACGACCCGCTAATCACGAGCAATCTTTCTGAGTTTTTTGTGCAAGTGCAAAGTGGTCTGTCAATGGGTTCACAGCGGTCAGGAATTGCTGCTCCCTATAAGGCAGTCTACTGTTAACATCAAATTGTATGGTGGGAGAAAGGTATATTTAGCTACCTTATTTTAACTCATCTCATTTTGTATGAGCAGTTACTACAGCGATTTTGGTAAAAGTTAACGTTGATTCAAGTCAAAAACAAAACCTTATTTTCAATTAAAGGGCTGATGGGCGAGTGTTAAGGTTTACATATAAGAAGGGAAACTTCACCAGGGAGGATAAGGAAAAAGTCAACGATGGCGTCAAAGCTATTGCTGCTCAGCACACAGTATGTTTGAAAGTCATAGTGCCAGTTTTTATTATATTGAATATTTCTATTACCGTATTTTCACATTACAATTTGATGTCGATTCATTCTAAAAGGGATTCCTTCTGGCATGGGTAATGAAGTGGAAGACGTTTTGGAGGGATTAATGTCTATTCGATACTCAGAAACGGATGCACAGGATCGCTGGCTGAAAGGGATGACCGCTGTTTTCAAACATTCCAACCGTCCCGGTTTACCCGGGACTGTCCCGGTTTGGACTATGTTGTCCCGGTTTTCTTCTTATTGTCCCGGTTTCTGTAGTATTTTAATAGTTGTATTCTTCAAATAAGGCTCATGTGGCAAATATTAATGATATTCGTTTGGTTCAATACATATTGATGAAATGGGAGCTTCTAGTTGCCCCAAACAATTGCTGAGTTTGTCGCCGCCGATCATTGTAATTCTTGTGACATACATTGTTTTGACAATTTATTTAGCGCTCGCTTTCAATTCCAATTCATTTTGCCAGGGCTACATGAAGTAAAGTAGTGTAACGGAAGCTGGCGCAATAATCGCGGGCTCTTGAATACGAGAGGATCACAGTTCAAAAGACCAGTATTATATTACTTATGGGTTTCAACATTAGTGTAATAAAACTAGTTTTTGTAGCATCCACTGTGAATTTATTGTTTAAATTAATTCAAACTCAACTCAGTCAATTTTAACACTAACCCAAATAGACACCACATCAATGAGAAAAGTGCGGCATTTATTCGAGGGAGGCGTTTATTCGAGGGAGGCGTTTATTTAGGTAAAATGGGAAAATTGGTAAGTGTCCCGGTTTTGAGGACTCGGAGGTTGGAATGTCTGTGTTTTAACAGTGCATACCATAGTAAGTTTTTGACAAAAACATAGACCTTATGCATAATGACGTCACAATGCTTGATGCCCGTGAGGAACACTGGTCTTGGTAGTCATCGTCCAGGAAAATCAAACAATTCAAAATGGCCACTATCGAAATTTTACCGGGCGATCACAACTAAGACCAGCATTCCTCGTGGGTACCAAGCCTTGTGACGTCATTGTGCATAAGGTCTATTCGATTGGTTGCTCTCGATTTTTACGGTATGAGGTGATAGTTGATGAGGGTGAAACCCGATGTGATGTGATGATGTAATATGATATATGATATAAAGTTGTGCACTCATCACATTATGCCCCAGTAACAAATATAACATTGTCCCTACAGTTTTACAGTACATTGGGATTGCCTCCAAAGACATCCCAATTGCTGAATGTCATCATTGAGCAAGAACTGAGTTCTCAAGGAAAAGAACTTAACGTGATGGAAGAACTTGAGAGAAATATTCTTGCCAAAATAAATAAACAAGGAGAAAATGTAAGTACAATGCATGCAATACAATGCAATGCAATCAGGCCAAGCGGAACTTGGAGAGCTGGGAAGTTGTAGCCCTGCAGTGCAACACTTTATTTAATGCTGATTTTTTATTTTTTTGACCATCAGAAATATGTCAAATCTTCTCCCAATTTGAACAAAATAGCATTTCAGAGAGCCTAGATTTTAATATTTTCTGGGGGTCATGCCCAAATTAAATTTGGTTCCACTGAACATGGCAATGATATTCAAACATATAACGTCGAGTCAATATTGCGATTTTTTTTAATTAATTACTTAACGTATATAACGTGTTTATAAAGGTAAAAATGGGTAAAAATTGTTTAGCTGTTAATAAACTATATTCTTTAAACAGGCATTTACATGGTTAAATCCACTTGTGAATTTAAAGAAAGAAGGAAAGGTGCAACCGGCCATCGGTGTAAAGTGCAAGTCCTCAGAGCATTTTCACAAGTGAATTATGAGGTGAAGAAAACTATAGAATATATAAAAAAAACCCAATAAGACCCCGTTTACACGGTACTGGACGAATTTGGGACCGGTCTGAAATTCGTCCTTTTTCCGCCTGTTTACACGCGAATTTGTCTAGTTAGGGGGTCTAAAATTCGTCCGGTTCTGTGGTTCTCGTGTGTTTACACGGCCAAAATGGACGAATTTCAGACCGGTCCCATATTCGTCCGGTACCGTGTAAACGGGGTCTAAGAAAATCAAAACGAATAAAAACTTGTGTTCTGCAACAGATTGTAAACTTGCAAGTGATGAACCAGGCGGGAATCTTAATCGTAGTATAAAGATTAATGCCAAGCATAACGTACGCAAAAGAGCCATATAGACAATAATATAGACAATAGTACTAACGTTTCGTCTTTAACCTAAGACATCTTCAGAGTAAATGAATATAGTATGACAATGAATTACAAATATGAATAAATTACTATTTACAATATCAAATTACAGGGTAATAAGAATGCGGAGGATGGGCGGGGGGGAAGTTAAAGGAAAACAATCAGAGGAGTGAGAGAGGAATGGAGCTACCTTGCTGATTCAAAGTAGGTTTGAGCTTTGAGATGAGAAGACTTTCACGGACGAGAAGTTCATCTGGAGAGGAACAGGATGATAGGATCTTAAAATCATCAAGAGAAGCAGTATGACCTGAGTGGCTCAGATGGGAAAAGATGCTCGTAAGTTGAGGACTGCTACTCGTCTTACCAGTTAAGGCAGAAATACCCAGGTGTTCAGAGACTCGTGTATGTAGATGGCGGACCGTTTGGCCCACATACGACGCGGAACAGCATCGACACTTAAAAGAATAAACTACACAAGACCTCAAAGCATTGGGAATTTTGTCCTTAAACATGAAGAAATTGGACAAACGTAGAGTGGGACGAAAAACGATTCTGATGTTTATATGTGGGAAGGCTACAGAGCAAAGGCGTTGAATTTGGGTACGGATTTGGAGAGAGTGTGTTCCGGTATATGGAAGACAAAAGTATACCACTTTCCGTGATACAGAATGGATTAATTCCTTGGGTTGAAAGGTTTTATCAAGAAAGAGTCGAACACAACGATCAAAAAGACGAGTAGGATAACCGTTCTGTGGTTGAGGATTTTTCTAAAAAACTCAATCTGAGCATGAAAATTCTCATATTTATAGCAAATATTGAAAAAGCGGTGTAATAGTGAATATATTAAACCACGTTTAAATTGTAGAGGAGTGAAGCTATGGAAATTAGTGAAAAGCCCTGTGAATGTAGGTTTACGATAAACAGAGGTTTCAAAGTGGCCATTAGTTCGTGTGATAGTAATGTCAAGGAAGGAGAGTTGACAATTGGATTCAACTTCACAAGTAAAGTTAATGTTAGGATGTTGGCGATTGAGATATGCAAGAAAAAGAGGAATATGGTCCCTAGAACGGAATAGAAGGAAGGTATCGTCTACATATCGGCGATATAGTAAAGGCTTAAAATTGGTAGGGCAATTATTAAGCCAAATGGTTTCATGAAAAGATAAAAAAATGTTAGCAAATAGGAGAGCCCATTGCTACGCCGTCTACCTGTTGATATAGGGAACCATTGAACAAGAAATGGCAGTTTTTGACAGCACAATTCAAAAGTTGTTTGAATTCAGAGCGAGTGAGATCATGAAAACGGATGGCATTCGAAAACAAGCGATCGGCAATTATTTCTATGGTTTCATCCAGTGGAATGTTAGTAAACAAGGACGTAACATCAAAGCTAGCCATGGCAAGATTATCGGAATTAAAGTCTAGACTTAACAATTCCTGCACAAAGGAGAAAGAATCACGAACCATGAAGGCACTAGAGCAAATAGGACTTAGAATGGGAACAAAGAACTTGGCAATCTTATAAGAATAATTATTAATACATGATAGAATTGGTCTAAGTGGAATACTGTTCTTGTGTTTTTTCGGGAGTCCGTATAAGATACCAATGCGAGAGCCAGTAGGATAGAGTTGTTTATAGGTTGCTTGCGTGATCGATTCAGATTTCTTCAATGAGGCTAGAAGGTTCTTAATTTGGTTTTCACGCTGCAATGTTAATTTGACAGGATCAACATCAAGGCGTTCAAACTTGGTAGTGTCACGCAAAATATCTTCCATTTTCCGGTTGTAATCGCCACGGTCGAGAATGACAACTCCATTTCCTTTATCTGGCTTCACGATCACGATGTTTTTGTCCTTTAAATCGTCCTTAGAAAACAAGGAATCAGGTCGGCTGTAACTGCGGTGGCCAGAGAGCGCGATATCTTTCAACTTGGTTTTGACCAGGGTTGGATAATATCCCGAGGATGAAGAAATTTGTTCGTCCTTTAACTTTCTGTGTAACATTTCAAACGGGGCAAGGAAGGCACAGCGATCCTATGATTAAATATGATTGGTTGGCTGAAGTCAGCACTCTAATGTGATTGGTTAAAAAAAGGTGCGATTTCAGCACGAATCGCACTGCTAGGAGTGCGATTCGTGCTGAAATCGCACTCCTGTGAACCAATCAGATTGCAGGAAACACAATTGATTTCAAAATGAATATAATAAAGGAGGAATATCTTTGGTTCAACATCATATTCCAGGAATCATATATACCTGTGAATTTTTTTCGATGTTTGGGTTTTTGTTTTTGTTTTCACAGCGTAATTACAGCTTTATTACACAGTTACCCATTGTTTGGCCCTTGTGTCCGCCACGGCTTCATAAGTTTATGAATACTTAATAAACTAATAATATTAATACATTTCTAGAAGAATGACGGCAGACCACGCGGTGCTTCTCGTCCCCGAGATGTAAACAAAATACAAAAAGCAAAACCTCAGGTAAGAATGCAAAGTCACAAAACTCAGGTGAAAACAGAGACCCAAACATCGAAAGAAATTCACAGGTATATATGATTCCTGGAATATGATGTTGACTCGAGGGTATTCCACTACGTTTGTTTCTTCTTGCAGCAACACTGCACCAATAAGATTTTTTCCCCCTTAAATGGTTGTTAATATGGTTGGAAGTTAAAGAGGGCTTGACGCAAATCCTTACCTGGCTGCATGTAAAAAACCAAAATTGCGGCTTTTCATCTGATTGGTCTGTCAGGCAAGGAAATCTTCATATGCCTTTTTGATTAGTTAATGGTACTAGGATTCACGATTTTATGCACAAACGTTAACACATGATTAAAATTTTAACAATTATATTTTAACTTCTAGGACAAAACTGAGAATGAAGGACGACAGCAGAATATGAATAAACGTCACCCCGTTGAGCTTGATGTTCAGTCGACGAGCGGATTTCTTTTCGACCAAACGCCACTTGGTGTCGATATAGCAGAAACGTCAAAGGCACGATCTGGAAATGCATCTATGGTCAATATCAAAACTGAGGACGGTAATAGACGACAGCCTGATAGTGACAGGCGACAACGAGATGATGATAGACGACAGCAGAATGATAGCCAACAGTCTAATACAGAAAAACATCATCGAGATGGAGACAGACGGAATGTTGAAAGAGAAAAGCGCGAACCTGTTGACGACAAACAGCAGCAAACTGCTGACCGTCGTAGGAGAGAGCACCCAGAATCTAGGTTTTACGACAGTGCAAACGAAAGAAATACAAAGGAAAGAGATACGGGAGATGACAGGCCATATAAGGGTTCTGTAAGGTTGCCGTTCGGACCTCAGACATCAGGAGAGCCACTTGGTCGAGCTGAAAAATTCCGGGATAAAACTAAGAACAGGGGTGGTTTCGGGGTGCCTCCGCAGCCGAAGGAGCAACCGAAAAAGAATGAAAATGAAGAAAAGTCCAAAGATGAAAGCAACAGCGCCAAGACAAAGCCTATTTCATCCATCACAGAGTTGAAAAGGTCCGATGAAAGCGTAGTTGATTCATTCAAAGGAAAAGCAAGTGAGAGTGCTTTTGTACCACATAGGACAGAGTGGGATGTCGCTGACTCACGAGATACTATTGCTAAGAAAGTCAAAACTGAAGACACTTTTGCTCCAACACAGAAAACTGCTGCTGAAGTTAAGACCGAGAAACCCTCTAGTACAGAAAGTTTTCGTGGTTATAAGAAACCTACCGAAAAAGAAGTGGTAGAAAAGCCTACTGATGGCAAGAAACAGCAGAATAACAAAGAGGACAAAGTTCCCACTACTGCTCCAACAAAAAATGATCAGTATGAATCGAAAACAGGAGAAAGGCGTGAACGAACGGTGCCTAACAAAGAAAGAGAGCAACAGAACTTCTCCAAGAGTGATTCGGGTGAGACGAAAGTTGAAAAGTATGAGTCAAAAACAGGAGAAAGGCGTGAACGAACGGTGCCTAATAAAGAAAGAGAGCAACAGAACTTCTCTAAGAGTGAATCAGGTGACACGAAAGTTGAAAAGTACGAATCAAAAACAGGAGAAAGGCGTGAACGATTGGTGTCTAACAAAGAAAGAGAGCGACAGAACTTTTCCAAGAGTGATTTAGGTGACACAAAAGTTGAAAAGAGACGTGAAACAGAAATCTATGGTGATGGTCGTCACAGACAGGATGATAGACAACCCCGTCCGCGTGATGAGACGCGTCGTGAACAACCAAAAAGAAATGACGAACGCAAAGCTCCTGTCAAATCAAGTACCGAAAATTGGGACAGTGAAATAAACTCTAGAGCAGAAAATCGTGATGCGACTCGGCAATCTTATAGGACACAGGATCATACTGATCGGCGTAATAATTCATATTCCCGCGATCGGAAAGACCAGCGCGACCAACGAGACCAAGACAAACCCGACCAACGTAATAGAAATGAACGTGAGCGAACAGATCGTCGAGATCGTACGGACCAACGTGAGCGTATGGATCGTCGAGATCGCACGGAGCAACGGGAGGGCAATGATCGTCGCGAGAATAAGGATCGTCGTGATCGCACAGAACAAAGTGAGCGACAAGATCGGCGAGATCGCACAGGTCAACGAGAACGTATAGATCGTCGTGATCGCACAGAACAAAGGGACCGAACAGATCGGCGTGATGAAATTAAGCCAGTAAGTAATGAAAAACTAGAGTCGAATGTTAAGAAGCCACGTAAACCTGGTGTCAAAGGAGAAGAACAAAATAAAGATATTCAGCAGAATGAATCTCTCCCTCAAAAACAAGATGCTAATAGAGAGAGTGAAAGAACTGAGAAGCAAGAGGAGTATCTTTCTTCCATGAAAAAACAATCTGACCGATTTACTGTAGGTACATTAAGCCCTGCGGGAGATCGCCGACGGTACAACGAAACTCGTCGCGGTGATGCGTCTTCAAGACGTGGTAGTCATGGTGGAACACGCGGGATGCGTGGTCGTGGACGTGTGATAAGTAGTGGAAAACCCATAGGAAAAGCTAGTGCAGCATCAAAGAATGATAATGAAAATGATTCCGAAGATTTCCACAGTGTTCATTCATCTGCTGATTCTGACGAGTCGGATTCAGAAGAAGTGTTTGATAAGCAAGATGACGGACGAAGAGACGACAAGAGGCCAACTCGATCGTATTATTCGAGTAGTCGATCAAGAGGGTCCTATAGTTCTCGCGGAAGGGGAAGAGGGAGTTCACAGATAACCCGTAGCCCACGGAAACAGTCAGAGAAACCGCCACGTTTTCAAAGACAAGAAGCAAGAAGTGCTAGCAGAGGTCGAGGAAAGAGTAACCGAGGAGGATTTTCTTCCAAAGATAACTGGGATGAGAACATCTCAAAGAATAGAGATAGCAGGAACTCCGATGAAGGACCTTTGCCCGAAAAGCGTCCGCCGGATACATCGTATTCAAACGAAAAGGACTCCGATGGTAGTTATAGAGGACGTAAGGCCGTTCGTGGTGGTCATTCTGGCAATAAGAATTTTTTTAGCAGGAAGTAGTTGAAGGTTCTTCGAGGAAAGGGGGTGGACGTTTTGGCGCTAAGTCGACCATTCCTGCTGCTTTGACAACACACGGTCGTCGCGCAAAGAACGAACCTGCGCCAGCAGACGGTGATGATAACTGGGATGAGAACATTTCAAAGACAAAAAGCAACAAGTGCTAGCAGAGGTCGAGGAAAGAATTTTAACCGAGGAAGATCTTCTTCCACCGGTACCGAGTATACCTTAATATAAGATATCGTTTCTAATATCAAGCCAGTAGAAATATTTATTTTGTCAATAAGTAGTCAAACTATTTTTTCTGATTCTATTGTCGTTCTCTTTTTCTTTCTATTCGTGCAAAAAGAATAAAAGATGAAGCTATATTGTCTATTGGTCTATTTGTAACATGCGTTATTTTATTGTTACCACGAAGGTGTAAGTAGCAATCTTCTTTTTAAAACAAGTGAGAGATTTGCTTTCCCTTCTTTTGGTAGTGAGTTCCGTACAGTTGCCCCATCGATCATGGACCTCTTTTTCATACTATTTTCACGAGGCTTTGGCAAACAGAGAGAACTTGATATGCGTCGAAGTTCATAGTTTGTCATTTCAGTTTTATGAGTTAAAAGATCTGTCAGCGATTTGGCCCCATTTTATTTAGAGGCTTAAACATTAGTTTTGTTTTGCATGTAAAGCAATCGAATGATCTGCATCATTTTCCATGTTTGTTATTTTCCACGTGCGGATCTGTTTTGGAGTTTTAGGAGCCTTTTAGATGTGTTTCCACGAAAACATCCCATACCTCACAGCACTATGACTGAACGTTCAACATACAGATGTTCCAATATTCCAATATACTGAAAGTAAGGCGTATTTGTCAACAAACTCCCTAAGGCCAAATATATTCAGTATTATTTTTCCAAGAAGGATGCTGATCGACTTTTATTCCAAGAGTTTTGTATTCATGCACCTGTTTCGGGTTTTGCTACATTAAAGCTTAACTTATTTGTATAACTTGGCTTAACCGGCCATTGTAAGTTCATTGCTTTCCAATGTCAACAGTAGCCGTCAGGTTCGTGTCATCAGCAAATAGTTGAGGTTTTGTTTTAGTTAAATTAAGCAATGAGGTGGATCATTTATATATAGCAAAAATAATGGCCCCAACTGAAAAAGAACTTGTGGAATACATGGTTATTTTTTTAATAATTGTTTTCGCGAGGCATAAATACGCCGGTCTTTTTCTTCAAGAAAAAGATACTCATTTCACTTTAATTTCACTGGAAAGAACTGACCTTTATATATCAAACTCATAGTCAACCTCTGTCTCAACCTTGTTCCCAGGATCACTTGAACTGCACAACTATCAAGGTAGTGGGTTCAGTGACGGCAGAGTGTGTTAACAAGGGGGGAAGCAGGGTCCCCTACTTTTTCGCGGAGTAAAAGAAAGTAATTGGTACACAAGGTTATGTGCTGCATGTATTATATTCTCCAGATTGCCCAATAACATTCCAGTTACGTATTTTGAGCAGAGTCATAGGCAGAGTTTTGAGCAGGGACGCCTGAACTGGGGGGCAAGGGGCGGCTGCCCCCCTTGCCTTTTCGGGAGGTCGCCCAAAAAATTTCCATGAAAAAAAAATTTTCCGGTAGATTTTGAACTTTTGCTCTATAGAGGTGCCCTTGGTGTGCGTCTGCCCCCCTTTGCCTTATTATCGTTCCGGCGTCCCTGGTTTCACTGTTATAAGGGTTTCCCCCGGTTGACTTCCGCTCAACGTTGGAAACAACTTTCGAGGTCGTGGAATAGTGCGCAATTTTGCGCATCTCATTCTGCGACTTTCTTGGCCCAAAAATGGCCGCTCGTCCCGACAGTATTCCTGTCGATAAAGTAGAAAGTCTACTATGTTGTTCTATTTGCCTCGAACGACTACAAGACCCACGTACGTTGCCATGTTTTCATTCGTATTGCAAACATTGCTTGGAGAATTTCGTGGCGAAACACCGCGAGAAAGCTGCCAAAGCCGGCAAGAAGATCGAAGAATTCGAGTGTCCTTCCTGCAGATCTCTTTTCTGTTTGAAAGAGCACGAAGAAGTCGCCAATATACGCGGCAGTCATTTCATTCGAAACATGGTTGATGTCTTGAACGCCGAACGCGAAGCGAATGTCTGGAAGTGTTCAAATCACAGCGAGAAGCCTTCGTGTTGTCGTTGCGTGTCGTGTGAAGCATTCCTGTGCGAGGAATGCCTGAAAATACATGAAAATTGGTCCACGTTCAAGGGCCATTCAGTTCTCACGTTAGAAGAGTTAAAAAAGCCTGAAAATCAGTCAAAAATCACAGGTACAATGCGCTGTAAGGAGCATAACACTAAGAAGCTGAAGTTCTATTGTGAGTCATGTCAAGTACTTATTTGCAGGTACCGTACGTAAAGTGTATTGCCTATTCAATGAATTTAGCAATAACAGACTGTTCATGTATTCTAGACTGGCCTAGTTTGGCAAGCTCGAGCAAGAAATTCCCTTTTTTACTGCTTCGGTGTGCTGGATGGAATTATATTAAAGCATACACTGTTGCGTAACCAGGGAGGGGAGGAAAAGTAGAAAGACCAACCTCGTACCCAGGGTTCTCTTTCTGTGGCCGAGGGCTGAAGAGAACCCTGGCAAAGGCTGTGAAAATAATCCACAATTTGTGGATTATTTTGTCACGTGGTATGTTGAGCAGGGGGGAGCGTTTTACCGCTTGTTAAATTCTGTTTTAGTGTGTTAATAAAATTATAGTGCATATATTTTTACACTTTCGTCGGTAAAAACTG